CAGCCGCTTTAAGAAAAAGCCATCTCCGCCCACGCCGCCATGGCAGGAGCCTCCCAGCGTGGCCACGCCTGGGCAACAAAGCACGAGCGATGTTGCCTGCGCTGGGAGAAAGGGCAGGAGCAGCCGGATCGGCTCCCTCCCGGCCTCCCTCCCATCCTGGGGTCAGCAGAAAGGCAGTGCTCCTGCGGGGAAGAGGAGACCTGGTCTCCCCCGGGAGCCCTCCGGCAAACGCCGTGCCGGAGGAACCCTTGGCTCTTACCTTCTCCACGTCCACCATCTTACAGCGGGGATCCAACCGCCTTGGGGTCTGGGCTGCAGCATCCGCCGCCTTCTCATCCACCGGCTCGGGTTGGCTCTGAAAAGGGAAGGAAAACCCTGTGGTGAAACACCAGCGGCAGACGCGGTTGGGGATGGCGGTGGCCGTTCCACCCAGGGGCACGGGCAGAGCGAGCTCACGCCTGCCTGCTAAATAAATAAGGGAAAAAATCTGATGAATTTAAGTTGGTCAGTTCCTGCAGAGCAGGTTCCCAAGGGATGTGGCTGCTGGTGAGCTCTGCTGCCCTTTGAACCGTGCACCGAGCATCGCGCGCCCGGGTCTTTTTGGAAACCTCCCCCCCGAGCCCCCTTTTCAGACCACCCCACCGTGCTACCGGGAGGGCACCGGGTGCCGGCGCTTGGGCCTTGCAAAGCAGAGGTTCCCAGGCCCTTGGCCAGCGTTTCCCCTTGCAAACGGGCAGTGCCGTAGCACAGCTCACCTTCCCGCAGGCCAGCGGCCCGGCAAGCACCAGCCGGAGCCAGCGCCGCTGCCAGCAAAGCGAGGGGCATCGTCGGTTTACCGCTCACGACACCGGCGCTGGGCTGCCTCCTCCCCACCCCGCTCCTCTCCAGCAAAAGCCCAGCTCGGCATTTCGGTCCCCGAGAAAGCTGGGCTGCCAGAGCCGGGGAGCGTGGCACGGCTGGTGCCACCACCCTGGCCACCGGGCACAGGGGAAACAACGCAGCGGGAGGGAGCTCGCCCCGGGGAAAAAGGCAAAGTGCCCTTCGCAGGGCGGTGCTGGGCCAGGAACCTTCGCCACAGGCGATGCAAGATGGGGTGGGGGTTTGGTTTTGGCTAGAGAGGGCTAGGGGGGACGCGCTAGTGCGGCAGTGGCAGGATGAAGCCCAGGCTGCAGTCCCTCTGCCAGGGCTGGCTGAGAAACAGGAGAAACCTGCCTTGGCTTATGCTTGGAAGCAAACACATTGCCGGCTGCCAGCACCGGCCTCCTTCCCGTGGCCCTGCCAGCTCCGGCGCCGGCCCTGCCGCTGACGGGGGGCTTGGCAAGACCGCAGTGTGCCCTTGCAAGCCCTGAACCGGCCGTGCGCCCCGGCAGCAGCGCCGGCAGCCTGCCAGCCCCCCGGG